TGCCTTCACTGGCATTTGAATGTTTCTGTCCTTTGTTGTTATAGATACTGATAATGCTTGACTTCAAATTCAATTATTGATCATTAACCATCGTAATTTTAGTGCATAAACATGCTGTCAGGGTGGGAAACACAACATTTTGCTTTGGCAAAATTGTACACATACCAATAAAGCGTTAAGAAAAATAAGAAATAAATAAATAAGAAAAAGAGAAATATTCCCCAGTTTAAAGTCGCAATAGGAGAATAACAGAGCAGCAGCGAAGCAAACACAGGTTTGACGGAGGCAGGGAGAGGTGACGATATGTTTTTCGTCTCCGATTCCCTTTGAGGTAACGATTTTAAGGTTCAATGGGCAAGATTACAGCTTTGGTAGACAGGAGTCAAAAATACAGGGTGAGTTGTAACGCCGCCGCCGATGTGTGTGTGTGTGTGTGTGTGAATGACACACACTGCTCTGCTCCGAGCTCGCTGTTATTGGCTGTTTTCAACTTTAGCACGGATGAAAAGAGTCAGCATTACAGCTGTCAATTCAGATGGAGATCAGGTGGTGGGAATCAACGGAGAGGCAGCAGATTGTGGCTCTGGTTTTGACAACACACACACACACACACAAACAGGCACCGAAGCCATGAAAGTGTGCATGGATGCATGCATGGAGAGGCCTTTGCAGACGCTAACCTTTTATAAATAAATCCTAATTCCAAACTTCCTTTCCCTTTTTAGACTGAAGAAACAAACAACAATGGCAGCTGCAGGAGGGTCTCGCCATTCAACACATCCAACACTACCGAATGTGTTCCGTTTTCTAAGGGCTATAAGATCTCCTCATATCTCACATGCGCTTTTCATGTTCTGCAATTGATACAATTCAAAGTATTCAACGTGCGACGGAGAAAGAAAGAGAAATTTCCCAAAGAGAGTCATTAATTTCCCGCCACCTCAGTTCTGGAGCTTGTAAGGCGAGTGAAACAACGAGCGGATGAAACAAAAACCTCCACTAGATTTCAATGCTAACAGACAGATGCCAATCAACCCCCCCCCCTCCCTGCCCCAAACCCCCTGCTAGACATGTGTGCTAGTTGGCAGAGAGACATTAGCATTTGTTTTACCCCCCCATCCCATGTGCTGGAGCCTCAGGCACGACAGTCAAAGAGACACCACCACCTCCCAACATCTCGTCGCTCAGTATGTGCGAGTGAGAATGCGAGACCGAGGAACACAAACGCACACTGTGGCCATTGACATGCGCTCGGAGGATTGAGCTGCATGCTCTGCGTGATGTGTTTTTATTTTATTTTAATGTATCTATTCGATATCAGGGATTTCCTTGTTGATCTGCATAGGAAACGATTCATAAAGACTCACCCTGCATTGTGCTTTGCTTCGCTGTGGCTATTCTGCCCTAATGGATCGCCGTGCCAATGGGGGAGTGGATTGTGAGCGTCCACATTTTAGTGTGCATGTCCTAGTGCGCCCCCTAGCTCTCAGCCGAGGCCCGTCCCCTTTTTTTCTCCCCCGTCCTCCTCCTCCTCCTCCTCCTCGTGCTCCTGCTGTTCCTCTCTTGCCCTACATATCAGTCCCGGAGAGAATAGACCCGTCTAACACCCGGCTTCACAGAGACGCTGTTTTGTCATGTTTTATATCATTCTACTAATGGCAAGAAAAGCAGGTCCTCTGACTAAAGACTGCAGCATCCCTAAAGATCTCTGGTAGCAAATGCTTTCAACAAAAAAAAAAAAGAAGAAGAAGAAGAAGAAGAAAAATTGTGACGCCTCGCCTTAACCAAGCTCTCTCTTCTCACCAGCGAAAAGCTCTTGTTTTGTAAATAGTCTGACAATAGTCTGTGTTTTTTGATCTGTATTTGTAATAAAGGAGAGAAAAAGAAGAGACGGAGGAGACATGGAGGGAAGAGAGAGAGAGAGACCCAACAGATGGTAGATTTGGCGAGGCCTCTGCCATGCAGTTTATGTATCAGCCTGTTTGGAAGGAGCACAGACCCCGAAGCATCCCTCACATATTGAGGAGTCACAGTCACGGCCTGGCTGCAAAGCAAGCGGCCCTTAATGTCGGTCATTACTCAAATACTACTGATTTCCTTCATTGATAAAATGGCGCTTTCTTGACAGATATGAAAAATTCCTCACGTCCCCCAAAAAACAGCCCGGAAATTCTACTTTAACCGTATTGTTTATTTATTATTTAGCTATTAAAAACAAAATACCCATGCACAACTTCTTCGAGTACAGCATGACGTCTTAAAATGTCTGGCTTTGCTCGTCCGACTGTGGGAAACCCTCAAAACACACATTTTGCAATGATTTCGGACACAAACAGCAAGCTCACCTTCTCTATAAAGCTTTTTATTCCTCACTAATTGGGCTTCAACAATGATTAAAAGAGCATTTTCTTCCATTAATTAACTTATCTATTAATGAACATATGGTTTCAGATGTCAGCGTTCCTATTTTTTTGATGCTGTAAATGTAGAGACGAAGACAAACTAAAGGCCAAGACTGTCCCCACACAGTTGTTGTCAGCGCGATTCAATCCTTTTTTTTAAATACTTGTGTTGGTTGTGGGTACTTTGTGTGACCGGCCAGTGTCAGAATGTTTGGTGTTGAGTGGGCGGACACACACACACACACACACACACACACCCTCGCAGACGTCTCTCAGCGCTCCAAAATGACCTATTTGTGAGCATGTGTGACCTGCGACTGTCGATCAGTGCAAATTTGTGAGGCAATGAAGCATGCAGGAGAGTCCCGTCAGAGCAGAGGCTAGACATCACCCCCATCCCCTCCGTCCAGAGGAAGTGTGTCTCTGTGTGTGTGTGTGTGGATGGGCGGGGGGGGCACAGGGTGCAAAAGGCAGTATGAATGTAAAGAGGCGAAGCAAAGGGAGGATGGGAACAGGGCTGGTGAGGAAGAGGGGAACTCAAAGCGGGTGAAGCTTGTCTAACGGTGGGGTTTAATGTCACCCCCCCCCCTCGCCGCCCTCCCTCATTCCTGAAAAAAAAAGGACTTCTATTCAAGCCGGCATATTTTTATTCCTCCTCTTCTCTCTCATTTCACACGGGCTACCGATGCCTTAATTGTGCTCGCTCTTCAAGGCAGCCTTTTCGCTTGCTCTTGATAAGTCTTTGATATTCTGTGCTTCGCTAATTGTAGTCGCTGCAGTACATCTATCTTTTTTCAATTTCCTGATAATTAGCCTCTAACTCTTTCATCTGTCTTTTCAAGTGCACTAAATCTCCTTCTCTAATGAAAGTTACACTGAATCCAACAAGGTTGACGTCTGGTAAAGGGAGAAGAAGAGAAAAAGGAAGAAAACCCACTGACGTCTCTCTTCCTCCTTCCCTCTCTCGCCGCGGGCAGGCCCCGTCCTCGCCTCTCCAACGCCAAAAATATTCAACCGAAAGAACACAGGAGCCGTTTAATAAGGAGATGCTTTGGAATGACTCGGGTTTAATGGATAGGAGACGTGAGGTGAGCGAAAGAACTAACCTGCAGCGATCGGCTAAAAAAAAAAAGATTAAAAAAAACTCAGAAATCACTCAAAGCCGCTGCTGAACTTCCCAAAAGGCCGCGGCCGTACCGGGAGGCTGCGAGTAATGAGCGGGATGGAAACATGGCCATGATATGTATGTGATAACATATTAGCACAACATCATTTGGGTGTGACAGCCTAGTTTGTACTCCAACTTCTGCTCCGGCAAGAAAGTATTCCTTGTATCTGCGTGTTGGAACACACAGAATCAGATCAGGGAGACGCAGACTGAGATAAGCGCTTTTTGAAGTATATAACGAGTGTTGCTCTAATAGTTATATGTCTTTTGATTCGGTTTTTCCATGGTGGAAATGCGTTATTGAGAGCACTGCTAAAAGAAATGCAAACAGGGGTCGGCGTGAGAGAAGAGCAGAGAAGACTGGAGGAAAAAAAAAAAGGCATCAAAATTGATTTTTCAATCATGCTTGCTGTTTCAAGGGGGCGTCACATGTTCTAATGACCTCATCCCTCTTGTAGTGATGTGAGTTATTTCACACCGGGCCATTTTAAACTAAGAGGACTAAGGTGGGTGGGAGTGTGGTGGTGGTGGTGGTGGTGGTGGGGGGTTAGTGCTGCCACTAAGTAGGGCTCAGAGCTGTGAGGGGTAGTACAGAGGGAGAGGTGGGGAGGGCTAAGGGAATGGTTAACAGGGTCATTTAGATTGGATGGGAGATCGATACTGGGAGGTAGAGAGGAGGTGCATCTCTGTCACTGTGATGTGTGGCTGCTGTGTGATTGTTCTGCAGATTACGTACAAGGGAGGCGAAAAAGAAAAGGGAAGTGCTGCCGCTCTCTGTGTGTGTGTGTTTCCACGTCCTCCATTGATCTAAAACACATTTCGTGTTTTTTTTTATATTCTATCCCCGCAGAGAAGGAAATGAAATGCAATGTGCAGTGAATGTTAAGCACATCGGTTTTCTTTAAAGATTATTGCAGATCATTTCTTTTTTTGGGTAGAGGGGGGTCCAGGACACGGTGATGATCACAAGTGACCAATCTATTAATTTATCTAAAGATTTATTGATAAGACGCAAATTAAATCATGATGTTTTTTTCTTAGTATATTAATCATCAGACACGATGAGTCCTGTCACTGGGAGGTCTCGGGTTCAAAGCCAGAATAAGAAAAATGATCAACTTGCTTCGTCTTTGCAAAACGTGCCGTTGAGCAACTCTCAGAACCACTGACGCTCTAAAAGAACTGCTTGACTAAATGATCTCAACCCAAAGAACAAAAGCAAAACAAAGGCTTGTAGGACCGGCAGGTAAAATGACTTTTAGGGTGTGAGCGTGCAAGATGGAGTCACGTCTGACGCTAAGGTGCCGTACCTACATTTCTGATGTTCTGCTCACATGTTTGCAGTCATATATATTTGCAGCCTTCTAGCAAACATGCAAAGCCTGGAGGTAAGAGCATTCGCCCGACAACCCAAGAAAGGAAAAAAAATATAGAGCTTGTGCAAATTTATTGATTAAACAGTTCATGCATCTAATGCATCTAGGAAGTAGTACTGATTTAGAGATTAAACATACGCTTTAAATATTCATGTCTTTTTTTGTCTGGTTAAGATTTGCTGCATTATAAAACTAGTGCACCGCATATTGTAAGTAGCCTACAGTCTCAGTTTTAATCATCAAAAACTGAAGGACAAAAGTCAAATTGTGCAACACCTCGACGATCCCCACAGACACGCCGTGTGTTCCTTTGGCCACACAGAGGTCAGAGGTCGGGGTCAGCAGCAGAGCAGCTTGTAGGGCGTCAGTGTGTTGATCAAAGCCCCCTCTGCAGGCAGAACGCTTGCTGACACAGCTGCTTAGATCCAGTCTGAAGGACATTCTCTGTAAACACAGGAAGAGAAGAAGAAAAACAACACTCACTTACTGACGCTCATGTTACTGTATTTGTTTCCCACTTAATCGCCGCGGCCTCTGCCGCATTACCGCGTGAACACGTTTCCTGAGATATCCTCAGACTTTCCTTTGTTTCCACCCCCCCAACCCCCTCAGCTAATGCATAAGTGTTATACTCCGTATCCAAACAGCAAGACGGAGAAGTAGATCACTGCCTTCAATCCTTTGCATAACAAGCTGCATTCATTCCGTCGATCTTTGTGCTGTGTCGGGTAGACTCATGAAACTTGTGTTACCGGATGTGATCATTGAGCATTTAGCGTGGCTAAAGGCTTAAATCTTTCGTTAGGCCTTGTTGTTTCCTCACAGCCGCCCCTCCTCCCGATATCGCTATTAAAGTGGCTCAGCTCCTCAATCCAAATAGGAGGGGGGAGCAGTCGGGGTAACAGGAAACTCATCATCTCTCATCACTTGTTTCAAAAGCGGCAGAGATGTGACATATTTAGCTTTTTTTTTTTTTGTGCCGCCTTCGTTGTCCGTCTGCCTGTTCTGGGATGTGGGAGGCGGATCAGATATCACTGCCTTGGGTGTTCGCCAGCGCCTCTCGTTTATCACGCCGCCTTTCCTCCCCTGCGGGGCGGCTGGGGAGACGATGGGCCGGAGGGATGTACGGCCAGGGACGACAGGTGTTCATCTTCCAAGAAAAGCACCAATCAGGTGCTCATATCTCCAGGAGCTTCAGAAACCTGGAACTTAGGGGCCTGCTCCTCTCAAGAGGATTCCTGGGGACTGACAAGACAAAGAGTTCTTCTCAAATTATTATCAAACCATCAAACAAATCATTTTATACTCCTGAGACATTAAGTCAGCAGTCCCTCACCCCAATAAGAGGAATACATTACACAAGAAAAACAAACACGCCGTCATAAATCAGTCAGTTTTCTCGTGACAGCTGTGATTGACAGAGATCCTCCCGCATGTTTGATGATCATTTCCAGTGAGGTAACACAACGAGTCCTTCGGTACATCTTCTGAGCGACACGCTGCAAGATGATGAGCTCGTCTCATGTTGTGACGCGAGGTCAAACTGCGATAAACACAGAGAAATGAAAACACCTGCTGGCTGACAAAGTGCCCGTTGGATGAACCGACACGCTGCATCACGAGTGGCCCAACGCGCCGACACTGAATGACACTCGTCCGCCAGCCAAAGACCGCTGGGGTTTGAATGTGGGCTTTGTGCTCTAAAATGTGGATGTCACCTTTTAAATGACCCGCACAACTTGGGCGCCCGGAAAAAGAAAAGGCGAGAGCCATTGATCATCCGGTCGAGCTCGCCGGGTCTTTTGTTCCAGCAGAACACTTTGCGCCTCTGTGTCATTATTGTGGCTTATTCTTAAACACGGAAGACCGGCGTGAGCGGCACGTTATCCTTCCCGTGTTAATCGCTAATAGTGGTCAGAAGTGGTTCCTTAAAAAGTATTTTGTGAAAAGTACACCCTGAGGTGTTGTGAAGGCTGTACGGCACACGTTAAAAGCCATGCCAGCGCTGAGCTGCTGCTGGAAAAGTGAGAAAAAGGTGAGTTGTGCTCGACGAATCATTTTTCATCACAAAGTGATTTTTGGGCCAAAATGCACTCATTTCGACTACCTTAAACCAACGTAAGTGTCAAACTGAAATTTTAAGGACAAATAGCTGCGTTTACTGTATGCTGCCCCACACCACCACCTCCCTGGCCGCCCCCCACGGTTTTATTGGAGCTAATTTAATTTCTATCTCTAGGGTGGGAAAGCCAGCGGCCTCTTCAAACTTTGAGAGTATGTAATTTGGTGTAAAACAGTAGCACTTTAGGCGTTCTCCACCACTGAAATGAAATGGGACCCTGCGGGGTTGTGTTGTAGGGTATTAAGTAATGTTTATTGATGTTTATTCTCCGAGGGAGCTGCGTGAAAAAAAAAAAAAAAAATCACTCTTCAGCTTTGATTAATTTCCCCCCCTCGCTCCACGTAAACGATGGAGCTGAAGCAAAATCGCTCTTTAGCCGTGACTCAGAGAGACTACAAGTGGAGCGTCTCTCTTTAAAAAACCCTCATGCTGTTTTATGTAAAAAATGGACTGTGACCGTGAGGCTTTTTTTTTATTTTTGAAAAATGATGGCTGGAAGCCTGCAGCACGATTCATCACCTATGAATTTGAACAGCTGGTATGTCTTCTTTTTACCGCTGGTAGATCACATTTAACAAAACCGTGGCCCGAGTCAAAGTAAATTCAATCTCTGTTTTTGTCATTAAAATAGAGGGCAGAGATCAAACCGAATAATCTAAATTCAGCGACTTATTTCAGATTCAGGAACTACCGAGTATCCGGTGTGTTAGACCCACACGGAGGCAAAATCCTTTTTATTGCTTGAAAAAAACCCTCCTCCCTGCATTTATTCACAATCCTCAGCTCTCAGAAATATCAAATAAGTGGAGCTTCTGTTTGTTTCCACCTTGAATCCCCGTTTTCCAAAAGTGTTCCTGTGTGTTTCTGCTTGGCTGGCTGCAGGACTGACACCTCTCCCCAGATCCGAGCATGTTCAGTCGCCATCCTGCTTGCCCCCTGTGCCAGCCTGTCATCCGGCCCAACCCATCACTCTCCCGCAGCACAACAAGCCCCCCCGTCACACGCACACACTGACACACACACAGAGTAACTTCTCCCCTTCACTCCATGATAAAATGAAAATTAAAGGCATAAAGAAACAAAGTGTTGCTGCGGCAAGCCGTGTTGAAAACATAGATTTTTCTGCTCTTTACGACGGATATTTGTTCTGATAAACCTTTGAACTCACTCATAATATATAAGGGAATGCACGGATGCAGGTTGAGGGCCACTTGCGAGGTGGATAGAATGTAATCTCCTTGCCTTCTGTATACCTACCACTCTATATTGCTCCTCGTTTGCTATTTGTGGTAAAAAGGTTGTGTTTGATGTAAAGCGTAAGCGATGAGAGGCAGTGCTTTACAGTGAATCCACAGCGGCTGAGAGGCGCTGTTAGGCATGAAGGGAAGCCTCCGAGCTGTTCTAAAATCACTGTGAAGCACTGCCTCGAGTGCCTTATTGCTTTTATGAAACGACATTATTCTAATGTTATTCTTCAGTGGACCAGGAGAGGGTTGGCCTGGTCCATTAGTGTGACTTTATTGGACCCTTCAGATATGTATACCTTTAGCATTATGCACCTCGATTACGACTGCAGATTAAATGATGCGGATTGATGCACACAGCTATTGTAGCTCAATTCTACAATTATTCTTTTTATTTGTCAAGACTTTACACAAACCTCCACGACTCGTACGTGTGTTGAGGTGTTGTTCCCTGCAGCAGGTCTGGGACACGCCCACACAGGCGCGCACAAACCACAGGGCCTGACGATACGAGGCCGCTGTGCTTGTGAGAGGCCAAATCTGCTAATGAGCCCGTGTCATATTCATTAGGGAGCCCCGTCAGTGTCTGCGTGGCTGCAGTGACGGTCGGGCAGTTTACCGCCTGTCTCCTCAACGCCACGTGCACCTGTGCTGCTGCTGTACAGGTGTGCTGATGCCGAGGGCGGATCACTGTCCTGCATCCTGCCCTTTTCATTGCTCTTCAGTTTTTGAGCGCATGGTGAACCCTTTTTTTAACAAATCAACTAAAGTGTAATATTTATTTCAGCAAAATAGTAATATTGATTTCTACCATTATCACTAAACAGAAAGCTAAAGCATGTTGGTTCTCAACCACTGCAAAAATGCGGTGCTAACAATGCAGTTAGCTCACCAGATAATGTGATAATGACCGGATAATGAAAAAAATACATCTCTTACAGAGTTTTTACATACAAAACCCTCGTCGGTCTGTTACAACACTGGTACAATGAAATCAGTAGGTGAGTAACAGCAGCACCAGTCAGACTGCAAACAAACACAGCACCCGCAGCGAGTCGAGCCGCAGCACATCACACTGAAAAGAGGATCTCACTTCCAAACTTTACTCATTTTTCACAGGAAGAGAAAAGTGCCAGTCGATGCATTATTTGTAGCAGGAGAAAGTTGCATCAGTCTTCTCGCTTCTGACTGAAGTCAATAAGAGAACCGTTGCCTCATAATGCCCGCCCCCCCGCTAACCCTCTGCACAGTGCATTGTGGGATCTCCTGTGTGTTTATCATCCTCTGCTGCTCGTCTGTTGCTCGTCTGAGCATCAGCCTTGTCCGCGTTTCGCTCTTCTCTTTCTCTGCCCTAAAAGAATGACGGGGCTTTGAAAAAGCTCGGCTGTCACGATCCTTCAACAGCAGCCGGCTAATTGCTGACCCTAACAGGCCCAATTAGCTCTTACAAGCTCGGCGCAGGGGCCCATGGGAGCCGTCTGCGCCGACACGGGGACGAGACGTGGCCGACCGCTCCGGCGCGAAGCACAAAGAGCAGCCACACGGCAGCAGTGCAGCTTCTCTTCTATCTGCTCCTCTTTGCTTTGTTATACCCTTTGCTGTCCCTCTCCCCCTCTCTCTCTCTCTCCATCTCTTTCCATCTTTCAGCCATCCTTTAGTCTCCGTCTGCCCGGCCGGGGCCCTTTGCCGAGGCCCTCCTCAGAGAGATGTCCCCTTGAAGTGCGTGGAATCAGAGGCAGAGGAGGCGCTCTGGGAAAAACTGGCTGGAGCGAGAAAAAAAGTGTGTGTGGGGGGGGGCGGGGGGGGTCTCCAGAGCCGAGAGCCGCTATCACGACAGCAACAAGCGTGTAATCGGCCCTCTTTTTAAAAGCGGCTTCTCAAAGAGCGCCAGGGCTAATGTGCACAACTTAGACTGATATTTGCGATAAAGCTCCGCATTTAGCAACTGGCAAATGTATCAGGCTGGCTGTTCCCCTTTTGAGTGTGAAATGTGATAAAGACATACATCTCTCCACTGATAAGGAGAACGCGGGGAGGAGCTGGAGTGGCTGGCACACAAAAGAGGTCCGTCAAGACATCGGGAGTTTTGGTGATTTTACAAGCCATAACTCTTCTGCTGAGAAAGAAGCAAATAAACCGCAGAGAGGAAGATGATTAACGTGTGCCGGCCTGCTCGTCCCTCATCTATTCTGTTATCTTCATTATTTGGAAGGCATTAAAAGAGGCCAGGGATGGCAGCTTGGGGAGAGGGGCTCAGGAGGTGGGGGAAGCTCTATGTGCCGGGATACTAATTACAGTGTCCACTAATAGCGCCTCAAGTAAACCAGGCCAATGCATCTTGCTTGATGAGAACATGCATCAACCAGCTTAATTGAGAGTAAAATGAGGCAGGCGTGCCACAGGACCTATTAATCAACATTGATGAATGAAAGTGTAATTAGATGTGGAAATACAAAAAAAAAAGAGGGGAAGAGTAAAAGCAATCGGTTAACTTAAAGTTAAGGCTAGAGTTGTTAACCAACAACGCCGCAATATCCGGCACATTAGGCTTTATATTCCAGGGCGCGGCTCCCTTTGTGGGAAAAGGTGAGCGTGTGATTGCCGAGGCATCGTTTGGATCGCGTAGATGATGCACTTCTGGCGCCTTAATAGTGAGTGTTGCTGCACCTGCTTCACAACACAAACAAAACACACTCCAGACTAATTAGTTTGTCCAGAACCGAATCAACTGGAGTTCTCGATGCGCGCGTCTCCCCGATGAGCGCTGCTGTACGGTCCACTCCCCGGCACGTGGCCGCCGTTACCTTCCGCCACTGGACTGAGCAGGTGTGACACCTGAATAAACGCCAAACGACCCCCTAGAAATTGCGTTTCTATTGCGTCCGTGGCGGCGCGCCGGAGGCAAACGACCATCAACGCCTGTAACGTGATCGTGTCAACCCTTTGAAGGGGTTACTTAATGTCACGAGACTCGGGATGCGCACATGATGTGGCGTGACATATTCAGCCTTAATCTCTGTTTATTGTTCGTCATATTTATCTTGCGTTGCAGCGCTTTCGCTCCCTGACATTGACATTCATTGCCGGTCCTGCGCAGCCCCCATGAGCTGTGTGAATAAACACAGCAAACACACCACCCTTGAAACGCCATAATCCCTTTTGTTTTGGTGGAGGCTCTTTTCGCTGTGTATGCAAGTGGGAAAGCCTCTCTGTCTTTCCACACACACACACACACACATGTGCATACACAAAAAAAACTCACAGGCACAAATCAACACACGCACACACGCGCGCTTTTCCTCTCCGCTCACTTTCCCTTTCAAAAGCTCTTATCTATTTATAGACTTTGATATGTAAACCTATGAAATCTTACCTCAGGCGAGACAATCAGGCCCGTTCTTCTTCAATGCGCTGGAATCAAAAGACAGAAAGAGGAACAAAAAACAGATGAGAAAAGCAAAACACAAAAGAGACACAATATAATAAGTGAGAGGCAGAAGCCTGCTTGTACTAAAGGGTCGATAATTACAGCCAGAGACAAGGCCGATTAGCACGGCGCTTTCGCCAAATGCCTCCTGAAGAGGAGACTGGCGGAGGAAGCAACGCGTTTTATTTTTTGCACCGAACTCTCGCGTTGCCTCCCGTCACTTTGCATTAAAAGAGCGGGATGACGTTGCTCTGCCGGTGGAGGAGGAGAGGAGGCCCGGCGAGCCGTCACGGGGCGGCGCACCCCATATCTTAGACGCGCCGTAATGAAGCGGACGTTGGGGGAAATAAACGCCACAGATTTACCAAATTTGGTGAGCGGCAAGCCTAACGCAGCGCAGCAGCAGGGGGTCGTGAGAGGTCAGGCTCCGTTTTCCCCTGACATCATCTAAAATGGCCTGGCTGAAATTAGCCTAACCCCCGGAATGGCATATCTCGCCGCATAAAGCCGTGTGGACGCGACGAGCGGCTGAACGTGAAATCCAAATCAACACATTGTTGTTGCCGTGTCAGAAGCAGCCAGGGAACGACCATCTCTCTCTGGCTCGGGGATATTTGTTGTCAGAACGGTCGCTCTGCAAACTGTTTGAAATAATCCAATCCAGCGCATCTTGACTCGTTAGGGTCATTATGCAGGCTTGACCTCGTTCTGTTGGGACGGATCTCAGCGCGGCGAAAGGGAAAAGCGCGGGCGGACAGGGGCCGTCCGCAGAAACACGCGGGACTTCCTCCGTCAATAAGTGTGACGCATGTTGGCTTCAGAGACGGGTGGCTGCCTGGTGGAAGTAGCACGACACCCGTTGACTCCAGAGCCCCTTTGAGGCCCCCGGCACCAAACAAGACAACTCAAATACAGTCAATTGCAGCGAGTGGAAAAAGCACACATTGTAAGGCTTAAGAGCAGTGAACTATTGTTCTGTGGAGAGAGGCCCTGCCTGCATTACAACACAGAAAAGGTCTTGTTGACCAATTATAGATAACGCAGGACATTAACATAGATACTGCATGTGGCTTTCTGTGTGTATCGATGCACCTCTGTACCAATTATACAATACTACTGCTTGTATTTACAAGGCATTCACTTTATACTTTTTCTTGACTGCATTCATTTGATTTATGTTTTTCATACAAAACAATTTATCAGTTTTTTTTAAATATGTTGCATTTCATGAATTAAAGACCCTGCTATAGACAGCTGTTAATATTGACTTCACACACTTCAAAAAAATTACATCTTATGCAACATTAACACACGTATGTTTAATACTTAAACTACATTTGGAGGCTAATTATGCTGTACTTTTAATTAAGTACAATTTAAATGCATGACTTGTACTCTTTTTCCAGTGTGGTTTAGCTTAAGAACGTTGTCTTAATAATTCTTCTGACACACATAATAAATGCTCAGGGTCAATAGGCGTATACGTTCTCTTAAAATTACAACTTAGCATCCTAAATTTACCTGAATCTGGTGAAATAACGTACGAGAATGTTCACCATTAAACGTAGTTTTGGTAGAAATACATTATTATGACACACAATGATGTAGTATAATAATTCTTAAATGAATGAAGACATGAATTAGGTCAGATTTAGGTTTTTTTGGTTCTCCTGACCGCTACATCTGAGGCCCAGACTGCTGACAAACTGTTGATTTTCCCATCATCTCCAACGGAGGAGGCAATCCTCTTAGCTGTCCCCTTGTGTCTCAGAAATAATAAATACACTTTTTTTTAATGGCTGACTTTATGTTGCTTTCGCAGCAGAGCTGTCGCTTGGGTAGTAACACTAAAGATGCAATCACAGCGGTCGGCGAGTGGAAGATGGACGAGTGAGCGGGACAGGTGGACAGGTGAGATAAGGAGGTTTTGTGAGAGGCAGTCAGGCCCGGATTTGTGTGGCTGTCCGCTGCCGGACGCTTAATAGCTGATAGCAAGCTGCGATTGTGATGAACATTTTAAATCTTTGGTCCAGTTGACCTTTTTCCTTCTACTTCCACCGTTGTACCACAATTCTGGTACCTCATCTGTTGTGGACTATTAGTGTCTTTGTTTCGCTCTGCACGTCACTTCTTTGTTTCGCTGTGAAAGTCACGGCTGGATTTATGTAACAGCAGGCCCCTTTTTTACAGAAATAAAAGTATGAGATATCTGTCCTGCTTCAATCACATGAATTCTTACTGGAGAGTTTTACCTGCAGCTTTGGTCCATCCACATTACAAAAGAAACATTTATCTCACCACTTCTGTGATATCTGTCTCTCAGATATCAGCCACAGGCGCATTAGAGATACTATGAAAAGCATTTATGTCAGAAACTGTACGTGTAGCAGCTAGAACTCGTCTATCACTCACTACTTCTCTGGGTCAGTGTTTCAAACGTACTTCTCTTGTAACCCCAGACTGTGTATAAAAACTTGCACTTATTTGGTCCGCAAGCTACTTTTCAATCGACCAAGTCGTGGCGCTCTGCCTACATTTTGACCGTTGCCAATCTCGGATTTCGGGCCGATGCCGTCTTGTTTTTGTTTTTTGCAACTACTGAACGGAAGTGAACATACATGGGGACTGTGATAGCGACGGCGATCTGTCAATCAAGGCCTGATCTGTTTTACTCGAGTAGGAACTGAAACCATAAACTCATGATTATTATGATTACTGAGGCGATACACCATGCAAGACGTTTTCTCACAGACTTCTATAGAAGTAGAGAGAATGCAAGTTGAACCCGAGGTGACCGCCAGTCTCTGACCTTTAACACAAAGCTCTGTTGTTGTTGTGTTGCATTGTTTTTGTGTAGTGGCCTTCGAACAACTGAAGACATAGAACTATTTGCATTCTCAAAGCAAACAGTTGCAACCTGTTGTTTTGGCATCGACGCCTCCAGGTTTGGAAACGCTGTCCGAAACCAGTGCCAACGTCACAGCTTTAGAAAGTTAGCTTTAAGACTGTCAATCAATGTAATAATCAATTAATGTCACATGAAAGCGTTTATATTTCCCATTAGAAATGCTGGCTGTCGAAAATCCTCCACTACGCAGGGGGTCCTCTGTTTCACATTTGTAAAAGAGGAAGATGGAACACAAACAGAAGAGGAGCTGGGCTGTAAAAGCAGCTGCAGCAAATAAAACAATGTCGAATGATGACAAGAGCTCCACCCACAAGGACTTTATCCTAGAAAGAAGACGTCAGTGTGTGCATTGCACTGTAATATGTCTTATAAGCCTAAATGAATAAATTGTACAACAGGTCCGGCCCATTGAACTCCACAGCGCTCAGCGGCTCGCCGTTTGGCCTCTCTGAGAACCATCGAAGCTCCATGTTCCACTCTGTGAAGAAAGAGTCATCCTTTTGTGTTCTACTGCCGGAGGATTTGAGCAGAAGTTTGATGGACGTGGGTGGACTTGTCACACGTGGGTGTTATCTCTTTGTTGTGTGAAATGGAGACAAAAGAAGAGGAGTGGATGAGGAGACTGTGATTTTTATCTCTGAAGTGCAAAAATGTTTCTCGCCGAAACACGGGAGGGAGTGGGAGAGAGATTAGAGCTGTTGGGGAACAAAAATAGATTGATCAGATAACACGATAAGAATAACTAAGAGCTTTGTTTGTTAATTCTCATTTTTTTCACCTTTTTTTTTTTTTCTCTGTTGTGTTTAACATTTCTCTGTTTTACCTTAGCGTCCTGTTATTTCCTGAGCGGTAAATATGGAAACGTCTGTATTTACACCGTGTAGTAATTAGTCTCCCTGCCTCTGTAGATTAAAAAATAACCTAATTAGGAATCTTATTGTTTTGCTCGGCCCCACACCTGTGCTGCAGTCTGTGTGTGTGTGTGTGTGTGTGTGTGTGTGTGTGTGTGTGTGTGTGTGTGTGTGTGTGAGCTCCCGGCTCCAGGGCCCCCGTGACTCACTGAGGGGAGTTCCATGTGGCCTCGCAGGCTGTCGGGCCCCGGCCAGGGAACTCACCCCGGATTTACCTGCTCTTAATCCCAGAAGAGGGGTCAGGTCTCTGCTCTCCTCCCCCGTGTGGGAGAAAACACCTGCGATACATTTCCCGATGTTCTTAAAGACGTCCCGCTGGAGCCCGAAAACTGTTTGTTTTTGTTTGTGTATATTTCTAATAAAAAAAGGGCTGAGCCGTGTGTGCTCGCGCATGCACGCGGTGTGAAGACGTTTTCAAAAGGAGAGAAAGAAAGGGCCGACATATCTCAGCAGGAAAATTACTTTATCAAATCACAAATTTGCCAGCCCCGGGTCTTCGTTTTTTCCTTTAGCCGTGGAGCCTTTTACTCAAACCTGACAGATGTGGAAGTAATGACGCCTTGTACAAGCGGGGGCCTCGTAGTCCACAGCACAGACCCCTGTCTCCAAAGGCGCCGACACTACCTGAGGGCTTCGATAGAGACGATTTCAATTCTCCTCAGCCGTTTAATGATGGATGAACCTGCAGCTGCAGGAACATTTGACAAGCCGCCGTCAGCCGTGACAGCCGGCGCTGAGTGAATGAAGGGAGGAGCGGAGGCGTGCAGGCGGACCACAGGCGACGGTACAGCGAAAAAGGGGGGGGGTTGGGGTAGATTGTGACGAAAAGGAGAAAACCCCCAAAAAACAGCATCGCCGATCCATCTGCGGCATTGACAATATGGTGTCAGCCCCTCGCCGGGGAGACGAGGCGGGCCGCCGGGTGGGCTGCTGCTGTCTGTGTCACCGAGTGGGAGATCAGGGCCGACACGCAGAGATCTCCTCCGCCACCCAGACTCCAGGTTGCGACGCCTGTGATGGCAGCCGAGGGCCGCGGCGACACACGTTAGCTGAGGGTTGGCGTTGCACACACGCACACACACACACACACACACACACACTCTGCGGGAGCAAAGTCACATCGCCTATTGCTAATTACTGCCACAGAGTCAGCATTCGGAGCCGGCGCTCCAAATTACACGGCTCAACCACAACAAGGGCGATGTGCCCAGCAGTCATTTGTCAGACTAATTATTTGTCTTGGGCTCGTAATTGCAGTGAGAACAGGTACTCAGGTAATTGTGTGGTAAGCTGCAATGTTAAGTGATGCTTTCCCTCC